TTTTCGGAAACTGATCTGAATACTATTCAGCATTTCAACGAGAGTTTGAAATTTAATAACGGCAGGTACGAAACAAAACTCTTTTGGAAGGACAATAAATCAAAACTCGCTGATAATTTTTTCGTTGCTAAACAACGATTTCTATGCCTAAAGCATAAATTCACGGGAAATGATTTCCTATATAATGAATATGCTAATATAATTAGAGAACAAGTTGAAAAAGGGATTATTGAACAAGTTTGTTGAAAACGAACCTATCTGTTGTTATATGCCTCATATGCCCGTTATACGTGAAGGAAAAGTAACAACAAGAATAAGAATAGTTTATGATGCCTCCTCTAGGTCTGAAGGAGCTAGATCATTAAATGAATGTTTGATATCAGAATCTAATTTAAATCCTAACCTGTTGGATATAATTTTAAAATTTAGCATACATAAAGTTGCATTTTGTGCAGACATAGAGAAAGCTTTTCACCAAATTCAAATTGATAGTGAAGATAGAAATTTTTTAAGGTTCTTGTGGTTTGATCATTCTTCCAACGATAGTGACAATAGTTTAGGCTTTAAGGTTTTCCGAATGTGCCGAGTGGTGTTTGGGATGACAACAAGCCCGTTTATTTTGTTCGCCACTATCAAACATCATATTAAGTGTTATGAAACGAAATATAGCAAAGCTGTTGACATGCTAAATAAGTCCTTATATGTTGATGAACTTAACCATGGAGCAGACTCCATTGACGAAGTTTTTTCATTATCAACTGATGCAGTTAAAATTCTTCAAGACGCTGGTATGAACTTAAGAAAATTTGAATAAAATTCCGTATCTTTAAAAAATCATTGGCAAGATATTGTTTTAATTAATAAGGAAGATAGTTTGGATAAGAAAGCGTTAAAGGTGCTGGGAATAATTTGGGATTTGGATGAGGACACATTGAAATTAGATGTACAAGAACTTTTACAACCAGTTGATTAGAAACGCGTTACAAAGCGAAAGTTATTACAGATCGTGGCAAAAATTTATGACCCAGTTGGCTTCATTGCACCTTTTGTTATCAGAATAAAATTCTTATTACAAGAGTTATGGGAACTGGGTATTGATTGGGACACAATTTTGCCCAGTGATTTGAGTGAAAAATTTGTAACTTGGTACTTTGAAATTGAAGTTATTCTCAACTTGTGTATTCCTAGAAAATATATATTCAATGATAAATGTGTAAATTTTGACAAAATAGAATTTTGAAAGCAGGGAAGAAATTGAATCTCAGCAGTAAAATCCTGAAATTAAATCCTTTCCTTGATAGAGAAGAAATTCCTTAGAGTCGGTGGTAGACGCTGTAACTCGAATCTTTCAGAAAACACAAAGTATCCAATCATTCTTCCCAAAATTTACCAGGTTACTGAATTGATAGTCAAACACTTTCACGAAGTGAACCTTCATGAAGGAGCCACATTAAAATTATCTGCTCTGCGACAGAAATATTGGATTGTTAATGTCCGAGAAATTGTAAGAAAAATAATTTGGAAATGTATAAAATGTTTTAAAAATCGAACAAGCACATCCAGTCAGGTAATGGCGACCTACCAGCTTCTTGCATATTGCCAGGATATGAACATTCTCGAATACAGGACTGGATTTTGCATGGCCCCTTCCTAATTAAAGCTAGGAAGCTAGGAATGGAAGATGGGAACAAGATATATAAATGCTATGTTTGCCTTTACATATGCTTCACCACAAAGGCCATTCACCTAGAAGTAGTTAGTGATCTAACAACTGAAGCATTCTTAGCATCTCTGAAAAGATTTGTGTCGTGCAGAGGAAAACCAAGAAAATCTTTTCAGATAGAGGAACCAACTTTGTTGGGGCTGATCGAGAATTAAGAAGATACATAGCTACACTTTCCTCTGAGGAAGCATTTCAAAACTACCTGAGTGGTAAAAATATTCAATGGATCTTCAACCCTCCTGTTCACTTTGGAGTCCTCTGGGAGGCTGGAGTGAAGCAAATGAATGACTATTAAGAGACAGGTTCTAACATACGAAGAATTTCACACCTTAATTACACAAATCGAGGCATGTTTGAATTGAAGCCCAATAATTTCCATCTCATCTGACTCTGAAGATTTTAATGCTTTAACCCGTTCCGTACGGGCGTGTCATATGTGCATCAGCAGCGAACATTACCTCACGGCCGGGTGTGTCATATTTGAATCACCATTTAATTCACTCTAGCGGACGGGCGTGCATACCACGTTTAACTTTTTAGATAGAACGTTTAATTAACATTTTTTGTTGCCGCTAGATGTAGCGGTATGCCTGTTATGGGGGAATATATCGAAAGTTAGGTATGTTTACCTTTATTCCTATGCAATGATTTTTATTTTTGGTATTTTGTTTCGGAATGAGAGTGAGATTCATGGGTGGGTGTTGAGCAATGCAATGTCTCTTTAACTGTGTTATTTGATATAAACAAATGCACATTCTCTCGCTGCACTGAGGAACTTTTTATTTTTATTTTTGCGATATAGTAGGATAGATGTTCTAACATTACAGATTTTTTTTTATTACTCTTATATTTTTCCTTTTTTTTATTTTAGATTTTTTTTGCTTTGAGATAAACATTTTTAATCGTCAGCGAAACGATTTTAGTGAACTTTTTTTAGTGGCAAACGAAAGCAGTATCTAAACGAAGAATATACACAATTGCTAATTCGTTAGTGTTGAGTAATGTAATGGCTCTTACTGTGTCATTTTATATAACAAATGAACATGTTCTCGATGCTCTGGAATAATTTTTCTTATTTTAATTTTATTTTTTTAATGGTTATAGTGGAGTAGATGTTCTATCATTAGAGACGTTTTTATTACTCTTGGAGTTTTCCGGCATTGAGACAATTATTTTGTATCGCTTAGCGAAATTTTTTTCTTTTTTGTTTTAATGGTAAAAACGAAAGCACTATCTGACCGTAGGACATATACAAATGCTAAATGAGTCAAATTTGCTGAGTAAACAGCATATTACATTCCTGTGACTAATGCAACGTGTGACTTTGCGTACACCCATGTTTCAAAGATTTTGACTGTATATTTCATTTCTGCTACATACGAGGCACATCCAGAAAGTAAGTTCCGTTTCAATTTATCTCCGCTGCAGCTCTGCGATCGCAGTTCCGCACATGCGCAGAATACGCTCTGTATCAAGGAGAAGAAACGCGCACCATTTAGAGATCGCTGTCAGTCACGTACGCTTTGTTGTGCTTGTTTTAATGTCGGTGTTGGTTGAAAATCCCGCCGCTTGTAAAATCAGATCTGTGATTCGTTTTCTGAATGCGAAGAAAGTGAAACCTAGTGAAATTTATCGGCAAATTTGCGATGTTTACGGACCAAAAGCGATGAGTGATTCAATGGTGAGAAGATGGGTCTGAAAGTTCAATGACAGACGTAGTGATGTGCACGATGAAGAATGAAGTGGGCGTCCATCTTTGGTTACAGAAGAACTGGTTCACGCGATTGATGACAAGATCCATGAAAACCGAAGGTTTACAATTAGTGCTCTCGCTATGGAATTTCCCCAAATTTCACGATCACTAATGCATGAAATTGTTACCGAAAAACTGAAATTTCGTAAACTTTGCTCACGTTGGGTACCAAAGATTCTTACCGAGCAACACAAAACAAAACGGATGGGTAGTGCACTTCAGTTTTTGACCCGTTATGCTGAAAGCGGCGAAGAATTTCTGACACAGATAGTCACAGGAGATGAAACTTGGGTTTCTTACTACACCCCTGAAGGTAAGCGGCAATCAATGGAATGGAGGCCCACTTCATCCCCAGCAAAGGTTAAGCCGCAGCAAATTTTGACACCTCGAAAAATGATGTGCACAGTGTTCTGGGACTGGAAAGGCATCTTACTCATTGATTTCTTACCGCGTGGTCAAACAATCAGAGCAGATGCTTATTGCGAGACACTAAATTTGAATTTTATGTTTGTAGGAATTTGGTATATGTTTAAGTTGAAGTAAACATGCATGGAAATAATTTAAATATCTGACACTAAGTATTTGTAATGGTTGCGGTATGAATTCGTTGGTGACGTTTATAATATAGTAGATGATTTAGAGGTAAAAGTTTTTGGATATTTTATTCATTTTATATGTGGAAATGTTCATATTTGGAAAGGGTAAATACTTTTTCGCTATCAGGTAATTTCATATATGTTCTTTTTACCGGGTTTAAAGATTGAGAAAATTGTCATGTATTTTCGTGAAATTTTTCTAATTTATGAGAAAAAAGCAGTGTACATGGATATAGTGAAGAGTGTGCGCAATGCCATTTTTGTGCAATTATGGGATGTTTCTTTAAGTAAAAATAAGTCGGCGTGTACATGGTTTATGTGTATGTGTTATTTTGAAAAACGCGTAAGGAGTATGGTATTGTGCACTTTTTCCCAATTTTGCAGTGAATATTTGTCATGATTAAGCAGTTTTGTTAGATAAAATTTCTAGCATAAGTGTAATTCGGCTAGTAGATTGTTGGAAGAAGTGTTCAGTATATAAAAAGAAAAGAAACATGTCTTTACTTCGTGAAGACAAAATGGCGGCGGGAAAAAAAATAGAGGGTTGCTGTAGGAGAGTTGGTCGCCAAATTTTCGCCAAAAAAACGCCAAGTTACCATAATGTAAAGATCAACCACTGTTTCCTCAACAAATTATTTTTTTCCTCCCCTTCATTTAGCATGTTTCTGAACTTTAAAATTATCATTAAACCTGCCACTTTACTCCATATAGGCCAGAGGTGGGTACACTTTTTTCTTTAAATGACTAGCAATAGTTATATACTTAACTTAAGAGTACCTTTTTTCTGACTTTACCCTTTTGTGCAAACTCCCTTATTCTGTCCATTATTTCCTTTTTATGATTACCCATATTGATAAAATTTACAATCACTAAATTCAGCAATTTTTAAATATAAAAAATTTAAAGTGAAAGAATTATACATACGTACTCCACAGTTTGTAGCCCAACTGGATTGACTCAATGAAATGATGACACAGGATGTGTGAGTGGGTAAGTATGTCGTCCAACAGACACAGACTATGAACAATATAAATTTAAAAAATATCTTTAAATACTTACTTTTCTATAATTAAAAAAAATTAGCCAAAATTAGAAATAATATCAGCATATTTAATTTATGAGGACAAGTAAATTTCATATTTATTCCAATCTCTTTCATAAATACGAAAATTATATATCCCTAATTATAATATTTAACATACCTATTGGTAAATGTATGTTTAATATCACTAGTCCTCCAATAAAATAATGAAAACTAAATAACTCATATAAAATTTTAAAATTCTTTCCCTCCCCCCCCCACCATTTAGATGTGATATTGAATAAAAATAGGGGGAAAAAGTCAAAACAATAATGACAATAATAAAGACTCAAAATATAACAATGAGATTTAAGTGTTTTATGATGAAACAAATTAAGTAGTAATTTAATTTACAATAAATACTCACATAATCTAAATAATTACAGCAATAAGATACAGTAATTCACTTACTTTTAGAATCACAAAGTGGTAGTTTTGAGAAAAAGTAAACAATATTACACTGTTACATTATATAGACATAGATACAGAACTTACGTAAGAAGTTTCTCAAGAAAGATTTTAGGGTAAAGTTCAGAATTGCCCACTTACTCGTTTACCACTTTTTACAAGAGTAAGAAGAATTACATTTTTGTCAATTTTCTTTGACTTTTTAAGTGAAAATAGGTTGATGTGTACGTAGATAAAATCAAGGAAGTGTGCAATGCCATTTTTGTGCAATTCTGGGATGCTTTTTTTAAGTGAAAATAAGTTGATGTGTAAATGGATACTGAGTTAGTGCAATTCTTAAAAATGTGCCAAGTAGTACGTGATTCTGCACTTTCCCCAAATTTTTATCTCAAAGAAATCCGATTTTTAAAATTTCCAAAATACACTTTTAAAGGTATATAATAGTCTTGCTTAAATATTTATTTCTGCTTTTAAGCTGAGTATGAAATTTGATAAAATTGTAATATATAAATTCTGACAACTGATGGCAAGAATATTAAATTTACAAATCATACGCAACTGCAGTAGCAAAAGAAAA